TAATTTCCATTAAAGTAAATGGTCATCCATTACATGAGAAAGTATACTTAAACCGTCGTGGTTGTAGCGACCCGCACGCGTGTAAAAAGAAATTAAATTAAATTTAACGGACGATCGGTATGTATGTAACTAGGAGTGCCCCATAAAAGTGGCGTAATTTTATTCGAGGCGCTTGAAAGACCTACTTCCACTTTCTTCTCGCCGCGCGACGACACTCGACGAAAAGAGGCTTAATTATAGCGATCTCGAGTCTCAATTTCGCAAGCGGAAATTTCTTCATCGCAGCGAAAAAAAAAAAAAAGAACGCGATTCCACGTCGGACACGCGCTCGATGAGTTTGCTTTAATGAAATTAAAATTGCGCGTGCTCGAAGTGTACGCAACTTTCGAATTAATTGCCATAAAAGTCCCTTTATAAATGTCTTTAGTCCGTAGGCAAAAAAAAACACACGTCCGTAGGCACAAAAATAGTACACGCAATTCTTTTTGTGGTAAGCAAATAAGGAGTGTTTCTTTCAAAACGCAAACATATAAATTTTAGGTACATTTTATCAGATATTCAATGGTTTCATTATAGCTCAATAAATAATAAGACAAAAGAAATAAAGGCATCTTAGAAAATCATCCGCCCATAACGTATAATCTGCAGTCTATAAAAATTTTCTACCCAGATTGGCATGAATTAACACGGCAAATTATACCTGTTGTGCTCCCATATTTGTACAACAAGTATACATACCGTAAATTCGCTGTTAATAGATGTAGATATAACGCGTTTGGCTCTTAACGTATCGCTCACACGAGAGGTCATCGATAACGAACTTTCTTTCGAAGGGAATCAAACACGCTTCAAGCCGCAAACGGGCGAATTCTTTATAGAGCATTTATCCGATCTACGATCCGGGATCATCTTGATCAGATTGCTCTTTTACGACCGTCTTGATCACCTCACGTTCGCGCGCGGATTCCGAAACACTCTCGTTTCCATTTCTGAAGGAGGAGTGAAAAGAATCGTTATTGACATACTTTCTGATGATGAATTTTCCAACCGTGATTCTATCGAGCGAGACGAACAAGGTAATAAAAGAACTTATCGCAATGTGCGCTCTCTTCTTAATGAATGCGAGGAATCTTTATCAACAAAACTAGAGCTCCCTTTCTTTTTCTCCTTCCTCCATCACTGTTAATATATTAATTATATTTATTAATATATTCTCGCAATTTATCGATATTGACAAAGAAGCAACATACTTTGTTCAAGATTGTAAAATATTTTTCTATAAATATTATACCTCCTGAGATGTGAGGGTAAAAAGGTTAACGTATTAAATAATAACTACTAGAGGAAAATGACATTAGAAAAGAAAGGGCCGGTATCGCATATGAGTAGAGATGTAAAAAAAAACGTTTTTTCTAATATAGAAAAACATTAGAAAAAAAACGTGTTTTATTTCATTAAAAAATATATAAATTTGTTTTTTTTTCTAATTTCGATAGCACGACTAATTAATTGTAAATAGTAATTATATAATTATATAATTAATTTTAATGTGATCTACATTTAACTTTTACAAAAAAAGAATCTTTTTAATTCTTTTTCTAAACAGCTTTTCCTTAAGTTGAATTTATTATAATTATTCATTGAAGTCTTTACTTCAAAATATGTTTCAGAATCAATATATTGGCTTTCTCGGTCTGCGTAAAAGTTAAAATAATGATAATTTAAATATACTATAAAATAAAAAAATCATAAAAAATTGACTTATATTAAGCAAAATATAGATATTAAATAGATAGCTGAAAAAAAAAAATTTTTTTAAAGAAAAAAACAAGGTTTATGTTTTTTTTTTCTAAAAAAAAAACGTATTTTATAAACAAAAACAATTTAGTTTTTTTTTCTATTTACATCTCTACATATGAGGCGAGGTACTTTCGTCTGTACTTGTTCTTTTACTGTCTGTAGACCACATGGCGCGTCGCGTCGCGGGATCATGTTGTTCCGAGACGGCGCGACATCCGTAAAAAGGGGCATCCGCGTGAGCGAAGGGCACCACGAGAAAGCACAAAGCCCATCGAGATGGTTGGAAAGCGAACGTTAAGACGATTTCGTCGACTCGTTCCCCGCAAGAAGTTTCTCTGGTGAAATGCAAACCATTCTTACATTCAGCAGACACACCGTTGAAAGCACGGCGGTGAAACCTCTATGGGCTTCTACCAATAAACATTACTGCGCGTACATCCTGTGGTCGTCGCCAGCAACACCGTGAGGTGTTTGACTCTGACGGGGATATAACAGCGGTGTCGAATATTTTAACGTATGAATTATGCAGCACGAAGAAAGCTGTGACGTTTAACAGACAATCAAATTAAATATCTTACGTTAAATTTCTGTAATTTTACGATTAATTATATATTTATAGAAATATAATATATAATTAACATACATTATACAAATATATAATTAACATATATTGTACAAGTTGCTGCACCTTCGCGTATATAATTTCGTCGCGCTGTCGCAAATAATAGTCACTGTATCGTACGAAATTTAATGCCGAAATGTCGCATCATCGAAATTAAAATCGCGACACTATCACGCGATGATCGTGTTTAGCGTCACGCGAAAAATGGGCCTCAAGCCACACGCCGTCGACACGTGAATCGTTTTCAATGTCAGGAACCCGTTTTCTGTGAGAACAATGGACACTGCTACGTAACAACCGCCGTATTATCATTTAACGCCGTTTCATTGCAAGCAGTATGGACGAAGAATGTACAACAAACGCGTAATTATGTCGAATCATTTGGTTACGAATCAGGTATCATTTGATCGTATGAAACACTGAAACACTCGTTATTCGCCAATCCTCCAATTGATCGGCACGATTAGTGACGTAACTGGAATAATTTCGATCATTCATCGCGAAGTGAATTCGCCAATTGCAAATTGGATAATTGGCTGGTCTAACGGGGCGGCAAAGAGCCAATTTCAAGGCAATCTCGAATCCTTCGAATACACAAAAAAAAAAGATCCAAACAGAATTGAAAATTTATCCTAACAATACGATTCTCTGAATGAATATCCAATCAATCTCATTAATCTCGTCAAGTGCAGAGTCGGAGATCGACGAGATTATTTACGGCGTTCGATTTTTTGTCACGGCGAAAATTGAAGAATTTTTCAATATACTCCCCTTGCAAGAGTCAACTAAACTGCGGATTGCATAATCCGCATCTCGCAATAACAGAGTTACATCGTAAGTCGTTGCAGCGCCTATATACGAGCGTTCTACGTGAGTCTACGCGTCGTCGTCAAAACGCTGAAGCATCTCAGTCATTGTCTCAGTGCCTCTCTCGTCGTCGTGCGCGTTTATGTAAACGGATAGGTAGGTAAAAAAAAAAAAGCTGAAATTACCGGCGAATCACCGTCACCACATGGATAATGAACGCGAACAAAGGTGCGCGCTCGCGTAACTCGCTTTCTACATCGGCACCTGCATGGACATACGCGAGCACCTAATGTTTCGCGCGTGTATTCACGAACTCTCTCTTTCTTTTTCTCCCTCTTTGGGACGGATTGTTTGTACAGCGCCATTAAATCATTAACTCAATTGTGCTTGCTCTAGTTCTGAACTACCTTTCCCTTGTCGCGCACGTGTGTAATGAAAAATTCTTACGTAAAACATGAATAGTCCTAAATGAATGAATAAGATCCAAATAGGATACAACGGGGTAATTTGAATAGTCAATGTCAGATCAATGTCAGATATTGATCTAATGAAATGTATCTTAAAATCTCTTATTTTCCTGAAACTCTTGCAAATGCTTACTGTTATCCAAATTACCCCACTATTCAAATTATCCCGCTTTACGTTACCTTCAAAATGTTCTTGTGCAGTGGATAAATAAAATTCTTGATACAATAAGAAATTTCAAACAGTCAGTTGTTTGAAACGTGATTACATATGTATACAATTTTAACATTCATGCGGAAAATTTTGATTCTTTTATATAATGGACAGTAACAAAGAATAACGATTGAAGTATTTCGATTTCGCAAAAGTATAACTGCAGCGGCAAACACATCGAATGCCAATTAAATGCGTTTTTGCTCTTGTTTTTCCGCCGAGAGATTACTTCCGGTTGCGATTCTTGATTATATTCACAGTATGCACGCGTGCGCAGTTAGTTGCAGGTTAATTATAAATGTTATACCTCACTGCATACGCTGATTGCGCTAACCACACATAATTGTGCCTAATAACACCGACGCCAGTGTGCGCACTATTGTTCTGGATATACTTCTACGCTGCACGCTTTTAAGAGAAATCGACGTTCGATATACACCATCGAGATCAATTGTTCGAAATAGACCGTGCCGTTATTAATCTATAAATTATGAATTCGCCTTGAAAAATCTTTCAGACAGTATAGAAATCCTCGATATCGAACTCTACCGGCGTAAGTGTCTATAATTAGAAGCCTATTTATCCCAAAAGCTGAGACGATTCGTGATGGATAACTGTTTTCATAACAAGCATAATTTTCAGGCATCAAATCACCGTAATGAGAAGACTTTCACGCTCCTTATAGGATAACGAAAGGAAGGCTGACGTAAATTATTAGTTATGCAGCATCGCGTGGAGAGATGCGCTCCGACAGCGGCGTACGTAATCTTAAACATTTGCGAGAAAACACTTTTCTTATCGATCGCGCGGCGGCGGCGGTGGCTCGCGCCGCCTGCGCTGTCGGCTTGGACACGCTCGCGGATATTTCGCGCGCGCACGTGTCTCGCGCGAGAAATGCCGCTTGAGCTCTTCTGTGTAAGCAGAAGAGACAGCTCGTGCGACGGCTGTAACGTGCAAAACGTGCGAATTAGGACTTGAAGGGATTCGCGAGTTTGCAAGGTAAAACGTTCCGACAAGTTACTCTCCGTTGTCTCTTGCATAATCGAATGATTCCGTTACGGTGCCTCCCCCCTCCAAAAAAATGAACGACTTGTGCGTTTATGCGAAAGCTTTATTTGCCAAATTCTTATCGACAGAGTTCATTAAGCTCTGAGTACTCGCGAAAAAACAGATTCCTTGCGTGCTGCAGGTCGCGATAATTACTGCATGCGATGTAACTTCAGTATATACTGGGCTCGTCGTTCTGCGGACATATCGGCTTGCGAATCACCATGCGTAAAGTACTGTTGTAAAATTCCCGTGGATCGTCCCGACCTATTCTCTGATCCCGCGTTCTTGACTCCGTAGTCTCGGACACGCTGATAATCTCGTTCCTGAGATTCGATTATTGTTAAGTTATAGGGATGCTTCGTATTCTTGAAAATAGTAGCTTAAATATTAGCCTAATAATTATAGGCTTTATATATAAGTGAAATTTCTTAATCAGAGAGATACGACATTTTTACCAGGAAACGTAAAACGTTCCTCGAAAATATAAAATATAAATTATGTAAATTTTCGGTTCTTAAATACACAATATATTAGTCACAAACAAAAAAAAACAGGAAATTAAAAAACAGTAAAAATTAGCTTATAATTGACGCCTTATCTATCCCTCTCTTATATCTGGCAAGTCTACGACTTTGAAAATAATTATGTATCTTTAATTTACTTGTAATCTTATCTGTAATGTATAGGTATAATACATTAGCTCGAAATGTGCATATGGCTGAAGAAAGATCGACAGAGGGGCGATGAATATTCGCGTGCAGAAGCGTGGTTTCGCGTGAACCTCGTGTCGCATACGTCGCGTTGCGTGCGCGTGGCGCATCGCATAGGGCGACGACTTTTACTTTCTAAAGCAATAAGTAAGACGCTATCGCGCGAACTTACTCGCGCATACACGCACGTGTATCTGCATATGCCGGGGTAAAAGCCGCATTAGGAGACGCCCACGAAACGCACGGGTGACCGAACCCGACGATGTATGTATGTATGTATATTTAACGTGTGCACGTGTGTGCGAGCCCAACCCGTACGTTCGTATTTTCCATCGATTAATAATCGCGAAGTCGTATCCACGCCTTGATATCGCCGCACGCGCGCGCCTTTGCTAATTTTATTATCCCCTCTGATATATAAAATGATTCTTGCCTCGTGACTCACACCCATTTCGCGGGAAACAAGGAATTTTGTACAAGGTCGGGCGATCAGTATATAGAAATTAGCTAATGCTTAAACGGGAATTAGGCTATTGCTTTAACGGGGATTAACGTCAGAATTCTTGCTCGGTGATTTCACGTGATCTACCGCGGTTTTACTTTGAATAAATGTTCACAAATACGAACGTCTGCCTGTACAAACGGACGCAATTTCAATCTACTCTGAAATGGAACCGCGCGTGACATCGGCGACTCGTTCGACCAAAATTATCGGCACGTCACGGCTCGTGGAATCGTTGGGCTGGAGTCAATCGACGGTATCGGGAGGAGCAACCGCGAAACGACGACTAATTTCTCGCTTACTCGCGATCGAAAATTTTCGAAGTTTGTCGGCACGCCACAGTCGTTTGTACCAGTATACAGAGTGGCTCGTGTTTATCGCGCCATATTTCACTGATTATCATATCTATACAGATTTCGCAGCTTAACATATCTGTATAGATTATACAGATAACATATCTATAAGCAAATTCTTTTCACGAATTCTTTCTTAACAAAAATTTCAATACGCAAATTATACGCGACCACAAATCAAAGAATGTTTCGCAAATTAATTTTCGAAAATAGATCATAAAATGTTTTTTAGCTAATTGCTTTTTTAACAGAATTCTTATTTAAATTTTCGTCAAATTGTTCATTAACGTTGAAAAATAAATGTAAAAAGTATAAAATGCGATAAGCAACGTTTAGTCATGCTTTTACAAAAAAAATATCAATTTTTAAATTAACAGAGAAATTGGCGAATAACAATTTTCTTGCACAATGGAGAGTTCAGAAACACCCTGTATATTAACATAAGCCGATCGACCGCTTGGTACGATGTCCCGAATCCATATTCCGTGCCAGGATGCACCTGCCTGCCCGACAAATCGCCGAAGTTATTCCGCGGCAAAGTGCAATTTAAGCTTTCATTAGAGAACCCTGCGGTGGACAGAAGGCGAGACTATGAAGAAGTAACCACAGTAAAGCTCGGAAAGAGAAATTTGCTCGAATTCCTATCTATATCGCACATAGAGAAAGTGCACGTCTCTTCCCGCTTTCATACAGCTGGATTGCTTTGTCTGACATTGTCATCGCGACGTTATTAATCTTCATCAGATATCAGATTGTGTTTCTCGAAGTCAGTAGCTGAGAAGATATTGAACAGAAGGCAGTAGATCGAAAGTAATTACCTTGTGATACATTTTCACGTTCGAAATAAGAGAAACACATTATAGACTATAAAATGAAGTAAGTTAATAGTAGACTATTCGGACTACAAAATAAAGCTAAATGAAAATCGATCTACTAAACATAAAGTTATCTGAAAAGTTGTCAAGTTTCGATAAAGAATTCGATAAAGAAAGTTGTATTTTTAATTTATATTTTCAAGAATAAAAATTATTTAAGTGATGAAACAGGCGAGCCGCTTAGATTTCGTGCTAATTGTAAGCAATGACGAATAGAAAACACGTTAACGAAGAGATAAGAGCAAGATAAAGGGCTCTGCGCGGAATAGGAGCTTATTCTCTAAAAGTGAATCAGTTATTGTCTAAAAGTGAATCATCGCTGATTTTCAGTAGGGTCAAACTCGGTGTAATAGTATATTAAAATAGTACGCATTTGCAAGAATTTCAGAAAAATAAGAAATTTTAAGATACATTGCATTATATCGGACATTGATATAATGAAATGTATCTTAAAACAACTTATTTCTGAAATTCTTGCAAATACTTACTATTATCAAAATTACCCCACTATTCAAATTATTCTGCTGTACCCTATATATATATCATTTTCCAGTGACATACTTAGAACTGTGATAAACAGTAAGTATTTCAATGTTGAATCACTCTCTAAATCTGAATGCATAGTCACTGATTAATTATCAATGGTTATTCATTGAATGCATCAGTGCCAAGTATTTCACTGGTAATCAGTAAAATTATAGTTATGATTAATAATTTAATTATAGACCATAAGTGAAATTATAGTTAGATTATAAGTACTGACTCAATCAGTGATTTTTCAGTACTTTTCCACTGATTTAGATTTAGAAAGCAATGATAACATACATATGTACATACTGATTGATTCAAACAATGAATATCACTGAAAGACAACGAATTTCAGTTTTCAAAACTCACTAATGCACTTTCAGTAATATGCACTATTTGAATCAATATATATATTATCACTGAAACAATATTGAAACACTCACGGTTAATAACAGTTCTAGGTATGCCACTGGAAAATGATTTACACGGAAAATCAGTGATGACCCCAGCGAATTCACTTTTAGAGAGTACCGACATCAAAAGCCAGCGACGGTTGATTTCATATTTTACTGCAAAAGTAATGTTTCAATACGCGCGTTACCTCACGCAACTTTCTCAAACGAGGTGATCGATAGATACAAGCACGCTCTCGTGTACACGCGTGTGTACGCGAAGCGAATGAGTCACGCCGAGAGACGTAACCGCCACTCACATATAGCACAGCCTGTAATCAAATAGGATCTCCGTACGATCCAGTGAGCAGGACGCAAAGCCGTGAAAGTGCAGTCCTGCACCCCGCGTTACTCGTAGAAACTCGTTGCAATTCGAATCCGCGGATGCGACGTATGTACTTGAAAATATCACTTTAACGTAAACGTATCTGAACTAATTAGCTCAATGCGCGCGCGCGCGCGCGCACGCGTGTGTATGTCTGTCAAGATTAAAATAAAATATTCCCGTGACACGTAATGTTGTTTTGAAACATATTTACAGGAAAAGTTACATGATGTATCTAATGTATCTTGTAGACTTCTACAACGTCTATTTATTATAAAATTGCAAAATTCAGATCAAAGGTGAACTAAATGTATTGCTTGTATATGTTAATAAGCCTATTTTTTGTACGATATTTCTTATATAAGGCAAATCTTACAGCATTTCATAAGTTAAAGGCTTGAGGTCCGCTCTTGTACCAACTTTTAATAATATTAGAATCTAAATATTACTACGTGTGTACTAAGCATTTGTGATTTTAGATGTATGTAGATTCTAGAAAATGATATTCTTCTTAAATATGATTGCGTGCGATTCTTAAGCAACGAGGCACCTCGTTCGAAAGTTTATTCGTCTGTATCATTTACGGGCCGATAAGGGTCAAGCTGATCAACCAGTCGAGACCGTTTCCGGCGGGTATTCGTACTGAATGTCGCCGACGCGTTGGTCGAATGTAAACCGACCGCAATGGCGATACCGTTACCGATTTTTAGCGTGGTTAACACGCGAGCGGGCTTGCGGATTCAAACCGCCACGCAGCGTCTATTCGCTCTCGCGAATTCGATATTTATGCCTCTGTGGCAAAACACTGAGTTTGACTTCAAGTCTAGGCAATCAACAAAAAAAAATTGCATAAAGACATAAGCAAGCGATGGAAATTAAGACGTTAATGAAAGCCTATAAAGCGATGAAAAACGTAGATCTTAAAGAATTCACCGGCAAAATTTACTCTCTAAATTTTCTAGAGTGAATCTCACTCCAAAAGAGTGAAATCTCACTCCAAAAGAGCGAAAATACTGTCACTCGGCCACTTGAGTGGCAGTATTTTCACTCCTTAGAGTGAAATTTCACTCCAAAAAATTTAGAGAGTAGAGTCAACAAATGCTCTTACTCGAAATTTCAAAAATAAAAAAAGAATTATTTTAATCTCTTGTTTTTCCTTTGCGTCAATTAGAAGCTAAAATTCCTACTGAGAAAATATTTTCTTTCAAACCACAAAACTGTCAAGGGGGGATCAGTAATACCCTAATTGAGCGGTAAATGTCAGTTCCATCGGAGCCATTGCGACAATGGTGCCACGCTGCAGCGTGTCCGTGAAATCCGCGTCCGATACTTCCTCGGTGTTCATGGAATTCGAGACGATGTCGGTTATCTCGCTTCCGAACGATGTGGAAGTTGTCGATGTCATTGTCGTGCTTTGCAGATTCTCACCTGCAACGTGCCGCATCGTCGGGGGAAACGAACGGAAGTAAGACATTACAACTGACGTACGCACACGGATTTCTCACCGCATGTTTAAAGGCTTACTTGATCTTTAAGTTAAAAGGCAACTTGACTCTAAGTTTTATCGATTTGGCGCGTAGCCGAGTAGAATAACAATATTCAAATGTTGAAAATATTGCAATTGTCGAACTACACGAAGTCGAGACGTATTATTTTTAGATTGCAAATAAAAATAATTCTTTACGATAAAGTATATCTGAAGAAGAAAGAATATTTACCGCATTTTATAATTTCTGAATTTCAATTAATAGGATTTATTATAATTTATTAAATATACCGCGCATTTTTTAAAATTTTTAAATCAAATTTTAAACAGAAAACTAAAAATACGTTTTTTTATAACTCTCGACTCATTGTCGTAATAAATTGGAACACCGTCAACGTAAACATAATTCAGGCAAATTTAAATTGGGTTAAATTTATAGCGAACTCGGAATCTTCGTTTTTTCGAAAATATCACGAGCGCAAATATTTCACGTGCAACGTTCTATATCTATCTCATAAATAAAACCGGCAGCTCGACGCTGAATTCCGTAAGGTCTTACTCGGCTCCGTTCTCTCGACATCGCGATCGAAGGTACTCGCGGAGAGGACGATAGTGTTCGTAGCGGAGGTCGAGGGTTCATCGGGGTCGACTTCGGAGAAATAACTGGCGAGGTCTTGGTAAGATTCGCGCGTCCTTGCAGCATCCACAGGATGATGCTCGGACCGATAATCCGAGGAATTGCTCTTTGTTGTACCTTGCTCGTTCAGCGTGGACGCTGACAAAGAGAGAATGTGAAAAGGAGATATTTAAACACTTTAAAATATGCATTTCTTTAGAAAAAAAATTCTAAAAAGATATATGTATATTTTTTTTGTTGATATCGGAATGCAGTATTTACCACTGCTAAGATTCGCGAGCTCGTCGATTTCCTCGAGAACGCGCGGATGAATTTCGCAGTGATTCACGTTCTCCACTTCGGAATTGGTTTCCCTCTCACTCTTCGATTTCATAAAACGCTTCAAAGGATTATGAAAGGTGGGCAACTTCGATCTAATCTGTGCATTGTGTTCATTAGACGATGTTTCCTCCTGAATGTAAAACGCGCATTCCCTCCCTCATGTCGCAAAACCGGATTAAGTTGTTTGTCGAATATTTCGTCCTAACATTTTTGTCCTAACTAATATTTTAGCCGGCTTATATAATTGTCTGGACACTCGAGATACACTTTCATCTTGTCACTGGACATTTATAAATGTCAAAGTTTTCACATTTAACGCAATTGTAGAGTAACAATAATTACGCGCTGTGATATAAACAGTAGAAATAAATGTGTACATCTTTATGAGAATTTCTGTTAAATGGACAATATCATTCCTTTTTCATAAAATAAGTCGTACATGAAAAAATTACGCGACATAAATACGGAAAACTCGTATTAATTATGTATAACGGAAATACTACAAAAGTTTACAACGTAGACAACATATATAAGATATTTCACGCTCTGTCTCTCTCCCCTCGCAAATTTTTCTAACGTAAGACTTTTATCTATAAAACTTTCAGCAAGCTACCTTTTGCGTCACGTTTTAAAGTTGCTACGTTAGGCAGTGCAAGTCATGTGTTATACGTCAAATGTTCATAGCATATGAGAGCATAAAAAAAGTAACAGTTAATTCTTGAATTGATATTCCAATAGCTTCGTATGACAGTACGATGATCGAAACTGTCGATAAGTGCTCCGAAATATAACTGTTATTTAGCCTACTAAAATATCCGGATTCCTCTCAAACCAGCATTTAGATTCCTCTATTTTTCAACTTCTATTGAGATCCGAAATATTGCGTTCTCACCTTCTGCTTCATCGCGGAAAATAGAGACTTCTTATCGGAATTTCTACGATCGAAATGATTAACGGACGTATGATCCGCGGAACCTCGCTGTTTCGGGGTATCCGAACTTCTCGAGGCTTCTCTGTTAGTTGTATTACTCATATCTGAATCATATCGTCAATAAAAGAGGAGCAAATCGACGGTGCAATCCCACTTATCAATTTGAACGTCGCACGCTCATTTCGATATCGACCATTCTGGATCGACTGGTTTTTGTTCATTATTATGCCGGTGCTCCAAAATTCACTGCCAGTGCTGAAAATCTGTAATGCGCGTAACGTAAAGCATAGATTTTCAGCGCTGAATTTTGGAACACGGTTCATACCGTAATGCAGAACATCAACGCATATGTTCAATATAGAACAGTTATAACGAGACTTTAAATTATAGAAAATAGTAGAGAATATATTTTCTCGGAGTTCGCACAATTCGCAATTTGTCACGGCAAATTATGCTTATGGACGATAATATTTTATACGTAATATATTATATATAATATTTTATACGTTTTTCATTTCAATGCGATAATTTCAAATAAAAGAGAGGACTCGCTACCATATAAAATAGAATACTCATAATACATTTTAATTTCAATGTGGAACTGTAATATAAATAAATTGAGAAATGCTTATCATTTGCGTGGCAAATTAAGCTCGGGTAATAACAATATTTTTCACTTTTTCAACGTGATAATTTCAAACGAAAAAGAAACTCGTTATCGCAAATTAAAATAATCGCAGGAATATATTTTAGCATAAACGAGAAATTGCAATACAAAGAAATTGAGTCTGTAATTAGTTTTCATAAATAATAAAGGTAAATATTTTAAAGCCCCTATAAAAGTTTATAGCCAGCGCATGCGTTACTGTCGTGCAACCGTAATTAAAGTCGTAGAAAATTCATGTTTATACAGATTTCTTGCTTTGTTTTCCTTTACGAGGCACATTCCCGAAGTACCGGTTCTCCCTGCACAACGATCAATACTAAAAAAACTTGTCGACACAACTTGGGTCATTTTCAAATCTCGAGCAAGGAAGTTGAAAATATCACCTAAATCTTTCGGCATCGAGGACCGAGCGAGCAAACGTCGCAACGCAAGACACGCTCGGCGCGCGCTCGACGGGAATCGCTCGGGGAGAAACGCGGATTGGGGGAGAGGGGAGGGGACGCGAACGAGAATAATTAAGGAGTCTCACCTGATAGACGTAAGGTGTGCAGGGCACGTAGAATTCTCTGCTCATAATAGACGGATCGCCTGCGGGCGGCGATGAAGTCCAGCTGACGGGTCGTCCTTCGGCAAGTGTCAAAACGCCGGTGGCGCCATCTTGGTCTCGCCCGGATCGGAGCGAGTCGTCGAACTGTCACGAGCGGGCAGGATCACCGAATCCTAGTTGCGGCCGCGCGGGCCATCCCTCGTCCGCTTTCTCGGGGTTCATGCACGTGTCACGGTCGGGATACGCCCGTGCGTCACCTGTCACGCGTCACGCGTCGCGGTTGCGTAGCGTCGCGTTACGTCACGTCACGTCGCGTCGCGACGTTCAGGTCGTTTGCGTCGTCGTCATCGGCGGACGTTGCGACAACAACGACGACGGCGGCGGCGACGAGGACATCAACCGTCGGGATCCCCTGTCTCGGCGCGCGCGCGGCTCACCAGAAAGCACACTCGGGATACACACTGCATTAAATAAAATACCACCTAACGACGTCGCCGGGTTCGTCGTCCCGACTCGATCATGGCGCACTCCTCTCTCTCTCTCTCTCTCTCTCTCAGTCAGGTTGGTGTCGATTGTCCCCGCGGGGGTGAATCCTGACCGTCGCGCTCGCGTTGACGACGTCACCAACGACGGCCGGACCTCGCTGTTCGTGATTTAACGCGGGTGGCGGTAACACTCACACCTCGGTCTCACTACGCCATTTTCGTTGCGCGCACGACGCTCGCGGGTTGGAACCTTCTCTCGCGCGTGCTCGCGGCATGCCACCCGTACGCGTTCGCTGACAAGTGTCGACTGGTGCCACGGGATCACGAGAGCCGACCGGAGCCGACGGCTGCCGAAGCGCGCGGCGCTGCCGCGACGCGACGCCCGCGATCCGCGGCGGCGCCACCAACTTCACCTCACGTCGGTCGCGGCGCCGCGCGCCGCGCCGGGCTTTCGCTCTGTTGGTAAATCCACAAACGCCCGGCCCGTGTAAACAGGAAGAAAAAACAATGTGTTTTTTTTTTACCGCGATTTCACAAAACGATGAACAAACAACACCTGTGCCTTTCACGTATAATCGATACACGTTTAATCGTTCATCTTCACTCGGTTATTTCGTAAATAAGTTTTCGAAGGAACTTTCGTTTTTGCACGTAATAAAATTCAATTAATTATTCGTTTTGATTCAAAAAGCAATCTCGAGCCGTTCCCAAGGTCTTCACTTTTCTCTATTACATTAACGCCTAAAGGATCTCAAAACAGATAATGATCTGGTAACGCAAGATCCGGCGAGCAAAATGAACGGACCAAGGTTTTAAAATGCAAATCGAACTTTCTCAGCAATTTTTTTACAACGTGCAATGCAATCTTGCATTGTCGTATATCGGAGTAAATTTAATTCTATTAAGTCAATAATATTCTCTTGTGAAGCCAATAAAGCTTCTCCTTTTTTTTTATAAATATTCAATAACGTTGCTATTTGCGGAAAGACGAGGAAAATTGCTTCAGAGAAGCGATATCAAGATCAAAGTGACACGTAACCAACTTTTAGGGGTTGAGAAATCAAAATTTAATCAAATCAGTAAATAAATATTTACGCGCGCACAGCCCTACATGCAGGTGAGGAGCCAATTGGAGCCCGCAACGTGTGGGTTGTTCGCGTGGGTTTTCGAGTGGGTTCCCGAGCGGGTTTTCGCGCGGATCTTCGCGCAGCAGACAGGCGTGCCGCAGGGGATGCACATCGTGGGATCGGCACGCGGGCGCGGTGGTCGGTCGGACGAGGGATGCTTCCGCTTCCTCTCGGGCCTTATGACGATGTTACGCGGCACCAGAATCGCGTCCCAGGGTATCTCGACGTCGTCGGTCGCGCAGGTCTGCTCCTGCTCCCGCGGCGGACGGATCTGCACCGGCCTCTCTAGCGCCAGGTCGGCCCAGGGTATCTCCACCGTGGAGTCGCAGATCCCCGTGTCGTCCAACGCGACCGGCAGGGTCTCCGTGATGAGCAGATCCCGCCACGGCAGTACCATGACGTCGTTGGACTCTTGCTTCTCGACGATCTTCATCGTCTCCGCCTCCTCGTCCGTCTCGGCCTCGTCCGGCTTTCGATCCACGCCGGGACGAATCCGCATGCCCGTCGTCGGCAGGGCGATGTCCCGCCAGGGTAGCTCGGTCTTGGAGTCGCACAGCACGGACACGTCCGAGAACTCGCGGCGAAGCGACTGCATGTAGGGCTCGTGCCAGATCGCCTCCTCCGGATTGTACACGAAGACCTGCCTCTTCCTCTTGCAAGGGTCCCTCGTTCTCTTCTTCTGATGCGCGTATATCTTGAGGCGGCACAGGCACAACTGTTGGAGTCTGGTGCGTAACGCCGCCGTGCCCGGCATAGTCGCGACGAGCTCCTCGACGTGGCCGGCTTGTACTTGTTGATTTTATTCCTCTTCACTTCTCCAACCCCATGTTGCGAGACTGAAGAAAAGAGATCGACGTGAACGTGGACGCGAGCAGCTTCGAGAAATTGTTTGCTTATCAATAAACCTATATGTTCATTAGCTTGTAGACTTGGGTAGCGATCAAACGTAACTTTTTCCAAAACAGATAAAAATTTTAACAATCCGGTAATAATATAATGGAGTAAAACATAATATGCTCGTTACGTGCAGTACTTATAGTTTTCTTACTATAGTTTTCTTACTATACTTATAGTTTTTCTTGTCTATCGATCCTGGCGAAGTATTTCCTTTATTAATGAATTAACTGCCTTAAAACTTTCTTTTACGTGGCCCGGATTAACGGTAAACGTTTTCTTTGGTTCCTTTCGGATACATTTTCACTCGAAAACTTCCGCACAGGACGAAAATTCAGAGCACAACTGACTACGAAAAACGGAGTGACCCAGGTGACCCTCTGGCCCCTCCGCTGTTCATATTGCATTCATACTTACAAAACATACACATAAGAAAACGTTTCTATGATGTTTTCAAATCCGATTCATGGTCAAAGCCTATTATAAAAAAGACCAATCGGAGGGATGCGTCGTGCGCTTTCTCGCACACTTGCGTGACGCGCAGGTATAAAATTGCAGTCCATAGCACTAATAACATTTCGATTTTCGATCTGGGACTTTAGGAACATATTTTTGCACTAATAATTTATGCAAAAAAAAATCAATTTTTTTGATCCGTTACACCAGATTCTCCCCTTAAGGCGGAAACGTGTAAAACGAAAATTTTTATCATTAAATGTAACGGAGAAATTTTTCACTTTTCACGTTTTTGCTCTAGAAAAAGTTACATGATCGGCTATCCTAAAGTACCATTCGGTAATTTACATATGATATACTGTATCTAATTTTTTGTAGTTTTTTTTCACATAGTGAACTTGCATTGTGCATGAAATTACATCAATTACACTATTATATTAAATTATTCCTGCACTTTTATTGTTTACATATTTCGACTTTATATTCTCAGATTTTATATTAATTAAATAAACAGTATCTAATTATGTACAGATGATTAAAATTTTGTAAATTAATAGTTGCGTGTATGATTATCCGTTTTGAGTCGTAATTAATGTATTACACATGCGGCGGCTATTATATACTTATACATATCAATTTCGAATGACAGATCAATTTCCGTAATGAATATTCGCCGCGTTTCGTTACATCATACTTATAGATTTATATCAAGAAGGCCTGGAGTAACGTGGCCCGCGAGTGTGCGTCATCATCTTGAGACTGCGAGCCAATCTGCAACGCGCGAGATACCTATCGCCTAATGTCTCTTAATAGCACGAGGAAAATGCTAATTCTTTTTTTCCTCTGGAAGGAATTATCTTTCAGCGTCAAAGAGCGCACGTAAACCGGTTGGAATCATCGGTTGAAGAACCAATGCACGCGACGCACGTTGCAGTCGGGTGATCGCGCGCATGTATGTTTATTAGGCTCGTCAAACGTAAACCGGAGTTATCGCGGCAGATTCCTGCCGTTCGCGGAGAGACAATTCAATTAAAATATTCTCGCCGAGTGTTTATACCCTGCAGATTGGTTGCCTTCTCATAAAACATATATATATATATACATTTCGTCATTTTTCTCATTAAAAAGCATGACCATATCTTTGCGGCACACTCGCGCGAGCATGAGTAATCTATTTGAAACATACTTACATTCGCTACAATGACAAGCAATAAGTGGGCAAGGTCATCATTCCCTCCGCGTCTTTAGTCGTGTATATAGCGCGAGAGACACCGAGAGACATCTCGAGCGCTTAAAAGTATGCAGCCTGGGGGGGCAAAAGTAGAAGAGGCGCACGATCGGGAGGAAAAAAATTTTATTCGCATTTTCTATGATTCCCACCCCCTCCCGCTTTACACGCGCGCGCGCGCGCGCACCTCATCCCGGGGGATCGCCTCTCCTCGACCGGCTCGACCTTACTTTCGACGCACACGGTGTATATACGAGATATATATACGGCGCGCGTCGGCGCGTGCCGGAACCCCGGGGACGCGTTCCGCCGCGCCATCTGTCGGCGGTGGCGCGGGTACGCTGGGACTTGTCTGCTGATTGCCGATAAAAGGCAATAAAAGGAGGATCCCCGAACGGTGGCCCCCGGTTCGCGTGATTGCGAGGCCCGTGTGTGTGCTAGCGCGCGCCGAGGTGGAAGGAAAAGCGTCGTCGCGAAGTATAAAAACGTAACGATCCGGCCGTCGGCGTCCGAGATTCGCCCCGCGCGGTTAACCCCCGCGGTCCCGATACAAATTACGTGCGTGTGTGACGCGGACGCGCGTGTCCGCTCCGCCGACGGTGCGCGAATCGCGCAGGCGGCGCGCGGCGCTTGCTTGACCAGCGCAGTCGGCCTACGTTTAGAAGGCAGCCATCTTGCAATCCCTAATCAAAGATCCACGGGCAAGCGGGGTATCGCTGTCTGGTTTTGCGGCCAGTTAATATCAACACACAGTTCGTCAAATGGCTTTAAAGCGAATTAATAAGGTACGTGGAGGAGCGGTCGCGTCGTGCGCGGCCGCGTGGCCGCGCGACCCGGGCGTTGTCGTCGTGCGCCCGTGCCCGGCCGTACGCCCCTTAGCGCGATCTCCTCTCTTTTCTCCTCTCGCCGAGCTCGTGTGTGGTGCGGACGAAGGCAAGTGTGTTGCGAGCGTTGGAAGAATCACGCCTGGGCCGCCGCCTGGGCCGCCGCGTCGTCGGCGGCGGCCGGGCCTCCTCGCGTCGTCGCTCGTCGCCGACGACGGCCGCCGACGTTCGTGCCCGCGGCGCGCCGGAGATGGCGGCCGCGCGCGCCGTGCGCATCTACGACCAGGCAGCCAGCGAACCGTCCGTCCGTCCCTCGACGTTCTGCGACGTCCCCAGCCGGGCTCGTCGGCGGCGGTGACAGCGGGGTGACCCGGACGGTCCGGATTTTTTTGTGTGCTCGACGTCCACGCGAGTTGCTCCGGAAGTAACGCTCGGCCGTGCATTGTCGCACCATGTCCTGTCGCCGACGTGTACGTGCACGCGCGAGCACGCATGCACGCCGGATCGTCGCCGCTCGCGAGATATTCCTCCCTCCGGTGGGCTCTTCGCTGGTCTTTTGTGTCGTTTACACCGTACACACCGTAGTGCTCGCGAGAAATGCCCTCTTCCAGTGGTCCGCTGTGAAAGCCTCGGGACGCGTAGTAAAGTAAAGTGCGCCGATTGACAACGGTGCATCTCCACGACACGAGTGCCAATGATGTTTGATTTCCCGTTTGTATAACGCGAATGGACTATGATTCGGAGCAAACTGAGGAGCTCGGTTTATATAAGCAAGACTGTAAAGTCCAGCGAAAAGCTATGATTTTTATTCGATTTTGATCGTCTGGTATTACAATGATAATAACAATCGTAGCGTTGTATGATACTCGAATCATGTAACATACTAGAATTGAATGTGACTCTTTGTTCTAAAGATATTGTAGATGAGATTGCAGACAACAAATAACTCTTGGAAATTTCCATTATTAGTCCGTAATTTTTTGTTCAATCACTATCACTCCGTATATAGATGTATGAATTATCTAGAAGGTATTCTGTACGTATATCTATTGCCAGCAGAATGTCTGATTATGTATATATGTTTAAAAATACTAAGCTGTCTATAGAATAATGATAGCATGCATGATCGCAATTGTTGCAGTGGAATATATTAAAAATTAAATAAGATCTAATTGTTATAAATATAAATCTCCGTTCTGGCTAATTAAAATATTCATAATCAGATACTATTTTTTTTTTATAAATTGAAAGATAATAGATATTTACTGTAGATAATTAATAATTATTAATAACAGATAATTCATTGTGTATGAAATTTTTGTGAAATTTTTGTGACGCTGTTATAACGCTGTGTTTGTAATTTCAGGAACTTCAAGATCTTGGTAGAGATCCGCCAGCACAATGCTCGGCTGGACCTGTAGGAGATGATTGTAAGTAATTAAGTTTACCGTAAATACTTAAAATAATGTAAAATGAATAATATATTAATCTGCCAAGTTATTAATAGATCACAAAAGTGAAATCAGAGTAGTTTGCTTTATGTTAATTACAATTTTTATTTTAGATTTTTCAATTAAGAAGAAATAAGATTATTCCCATTTATTAACATATTATAAAAGTAAAGATACCATGAAAGTTATACCAATTTAATGACAATTTGCATGTAATTGTTTAACCTAATATTTTTCTAGTATTCCACTGGCAGGCAACAATCATGGGACCAGTAAGTGTAATACCTTATGCAAATTTTTAACATTTATTTTTTTTCTATGTAAGAATATAAGTAAATGATTAACTATTTAATATTTTTTATGTGATATTAAATTACGATAGAAAGATATTGAATTGCTGGTGATTATATATTTTGCACTTTTCATGCCGTAGGCCCATTTTCAAAATGTATGGTTACCTAAAGGTTAGAAATTAGAAATTTATTGTTTCACGACGTTTGGTTAGGACTTGACTGTCGAGTTAACTTAGTGCCAACTCAACTAATGTCCATTTATACAATGTAGATTAACTTTAATTACGATTTTATTTACTTTTTATCTTTTTCTAATTCTTAAAAGTAGGAAAAGATATAAAATAAGTTAAACCTAGATTAAAGTTAATCTACGTTGGTAGAAATACACATAATGTACACGTAACCTTTAACTATGTTCTAAGATTTGATCGTAAGCTTATGAAAATGTGTTTCAGTTAACTTTCAAGTTAACCTAACCTTTTCATTAACCATATATTATGAAAATGGGTACTAATAATTTTCAATTTCATTGTTAATATATTATCAAGTTTATACATAGAGTTTCATTATTAGAATAATTGTGTGATACATTGTTATATACATTAATTTTCTCTTGCAGCCCGACAGTCCGTATCAAGGAGGGGTATTTTTCCTAACAATACACTTTCCAACAGATTACCCGTTTAAACCACCTAAGGTATGTCACATTGTACAGATGGAATTTTTAATGTTATATTTCAGAAATAAGAGACACAAATGAATGTCCATCACAAATAATTATTTACTACTTGCAGGTGGCATTCACGACTAGAATTTATCATCCCAATATCAACAGTAATGGAAGTATTTGTTTGGATATTTTACGATCTCAGTGGTCTCCTGCGCTCACTATATCAAAGGGTATGTGTTACTACGTGACATGCGTTTAGAAAAATGTACAGTCCCATCTAAATAAGTCGCAAACGCACAACACAAACGCAAACGCAAACGCGGAGAAAAAAAAGAACGAAACGTCAAAATAAAAGAAAAGAAAGAGAGAAACGTCCGCGTTTGCGTTTTGCGTTTGCGACTTATGTAGATAGGGCTTATTCTGTGTATTTTCAGTGGCGCTTTAACGTAATTAATAATTTTTTTTTTCCAGTGTTATTGTCAATATGCTCTTTGCTGTGCGATCCAAATCCAGATGACCCACTGGTACCAGAGATAGCCAGGATATACAAAACCGACAGGGAGAAGTATAATGAATTGGCACGCGAATGGACGCGCAAGTATGCCATGTGATGCGCCAATCTCCATTGACTTCAACATCCAAACACCACCAAGAAACAGCCCCAGCCTATTGCCACTTACGCATCAGCACCGATTGAAATTAGCTATGGCTCGTATACTTTTTAAACTTAAGCAGTATTCGGGCCCGAGGAATCCTCAGGCAAACGTGATCGATCTGAACTTCTCGCGGTTCAAGAAGTCCGCGAATGGTTAAAAAAAAAAAACGTTGCCGCAATGGCAATTGAGGCAATTTTGAAGGTGGTCACCCAGCATTATATATACTGAATCAGACAACACATGTCCGCTTTGTTTTTTCATAAATAAAAGAAAAATGGAAGTAACATATAGGAGAGTGAAAGTAGGATTTGTATTTTGAATCTAATAGATTGGTTTTCTCTAATTATTGTGCTTATGATAATTGTAACATTACCTACTTTCTCAGTGAAACAAAAACTGAAAAACTTTGAACTGACAGCACATCGATTGTTAGTCTTAAACGCAAGTGAGCAATGTTTGCCCGTCCCTTGAAACGATGTGGTCACTCTTTTGTAAGACTGGGCTATATATATATAAATATTACTGAAACTACGTGTATGCTTTGTTCAATTATTAAAATTCCTTATACCTGACAAATTCTACGAGTAACTCGAAATCTGTGCTTTTGGTTCCTGTGTGTGTGTGTAGTAATTTAATTATGCATATCGTTAATCGGCAAGTGGCAACCGTGCAACTTTAAGTAATCGGAAGTACTTGCGAGCGCTGGATAAAAGTTTGTCTGATATTTAAGAGTATGGTCTGCAGTCTCGCGGCTCTATAAAGATTCGTTGTATAATTTATTTGGAAGCGTGCGGATCGCTCGTGTCATCCTTTTCGGCTTTTACGCTGAATAAATGGCGAGCAGTCGATTGGGTCACTATCGTCAATAAATGACGTGAGGGAGAGGACAATTCCGATTATTTAAACTTATATACGGATCGCGTTATATTAAATTAGGCGACAAGTATGTCGATACGGCGCGAGGGGGGATCGCCACTGGATTTGCCAAAATCTCGGCGACTCGTCTCGCATTACAGTGCATGAATGCACGCTATTAAGTTTGTGCGTCGCGTTCTGCGGATCAGGAATTCGCACTCGCCCGTCGTCCATCGCGACGCTATTTTACTCGCATCAATACTTTTACTGCTGCTTTGCGTGCAGATGTTTCTTTAAGCAGCGATTTTTTTTTTTTATTTAGTTTTCGTGACCAGATGTTTTTTCCTTTCATCCACAATATAAAATGCGTACAGTCGCGACGGGCGACCGTACTGTTCCATTGCTGGACCGAACGATAGACTTAAAATACAATCTGTTATTTAAACGTTACGATTACAATTATTATGTCCCCCGATATATTGTGGCTGTAAGGGTAAGGCGATGTGATTACATATTATTATTTCTTAAAAACCTAGCTATTATACAAAATGAACAAAATGTGTCGTTAAATTGCGAAATGTCATTCAGCGCGATTAGTTCGTTTAAGATTATATGAAACTACAATAATTGCACTGTTTTGATGGTGCTAGCAGTGTGTTTTTGGCTTCTAATCATAGATAAATAAATAAAATCTGATACGTCATTTAAAAAGAAAAAAAGAAAGATACGATTACTTAATTAGTGCGTAAGTGAAAACGACTTTGTCTTTGCGAACCACGTGTAAAGCGCGCGTCAGTGCGAAAACCGTCTCGATATGTAATCGGTGCTTAAAAGATATACGGCAAGCTGATGGGGCGGACTAAAGGAACTAAGGGGAACCTAGAGAAGACAAATCGATTAGTATGTAATGCGGCGGCCCGCTGTTTACGCCGACCTTGTCTCATACGACCGTGTATCTGCTGTAATTTAATTACGAGTAAACGCGTCTCTGTCGGATCTGGTATATTTAAAAGTTATAGTCCTCGAAAAAGAAAAAGGAAAAAAAAAACTTGATCATCGTTCACTCTCTAGTAGAAGATGACTATTCATGTGTATAATTAATTATTACTACCGCAATAATGAACATTTTTAATAACTTATCTTGTGTACATTTTAGCATTAGCCCTTTATATAATAAAGTCCACATGATGATAAGGTACGAAGCAAGCGAATCTTCCTTTTTTTTTCTTTTCCTCGCGCGCGCGCGCGCGACCGGCCACGCAAGCCCGAGCGTGCGGACGATACGATAAGCGGATAGGTATCGCGACACGGTCACGTCTCGCGTTACGCAGCCCATCATATTTCCTATCGTAACGAGCCGTATACAACTGAAGATTCGTGCCAGGCTATAAAAAAGATATTATCGTATCATCAGCGTATCAGCGGGGAATCTCTCGGTTCGAAAGCGGTCTTGGCCCACGCGTGTCTTTCCCAATTCTTCAATGTCAGCAATGTGACCTACGTGAAAGTAACGCGGAGCCCCGACTTGTGTGCTCCTGAAAATTTTATTGCACGCGGTGCGTCGCGCTTTCGACGAGGAAACTTTTTCGCGCTCGAAAGAGAAACTGGAAACTTTACAAGTAATTGTAATTGTAAATCGAGATTGCTTTTAGATAAGATTAAACATACGGAAAAAATATTTTGACCACGCACGCAATTTTCAAGCCGTTTTGTCAAACTGAAAAATTACTTCTTCCTTGCGAAGTAATTTAATGCAAATAGAAAAAATTTGGCAAAATTCGCAGGTCAAGTTACAAATTATACGTGAATCATGTGATTTCATATATATGTATATACCACTGATAAGACTGAAAAGAGCTACTCCGAGAAGAAATCATATGTAATCATTGTAAATCTCGTGTTATTGCGAGATGTGCCCCGGACATCGAAGGCCACCCGGCAGCCGATCCTGAATCCGCGGAGAACCGGACAGTCGCTCGCTGTCCGAGCAGTGAAAGTACCCAGGCGCGTCCCCTCTTTGTGTCTCAAGTGCCGGGGGAATATTGTTGATACCGGAGCATGTGCTTCTCACGCGGGGCCGGGGCGGCGTACATCGGGAGCGACCCTGGGGCAACTCGCCGTCGTCCTCGTCGCCGTCGCTATACCGCTGCCGTTGCCGCCGCCGCCACCGCTGCCGCCGCCGTCGCCGCCGCCGCCGCCGCTTCGCAATCCGATGCGCTCGCTGCTGCCAGTGTTCTGCTCGGCGCGCTCGGTGCGGTCGATCGAATCGCGGCGGAGACTCGCACAACGTGAAGAGTGCGCCGATGCGTCCGACGACCACGAGAGACGTCGATGACTCTCCGTTTCCTCGACCGTCCCCGCTAAAACTGTCGATCGCCGCTCCACGAGGTACGTGTACGTCGCTGATTGAAGCGTCACTCGATGCGGAAGGCCGGGGCTTAATTGTCCCGATGAGATGATTAGTAACGCTAATTATTGTCGGCCGGTACCATCGAACGGAACGTCGCTTTTTTTTTATACAACGAATATATTTATGAAGAAAGATAATTATACTAACGGTATCGATATTCATCAAAAAGTACCAGAGACAGTTTGACTCCTTTCGAGTAGTATCGCCGGTAAAAAGATAAATTGAAACCTTTTGTACATGTGTCACGAAAGTAAGAGCAGCTGATTCCCCCTCGGATCTGCGTTTGAGAGAACCCGCCGCGTCCTCGTGCTCAGGTCTCGTATTTAAATTGCATTCTGGAGCGAGGCTGATTAAATGAAGTGCGGGCGAATGAATCTCGCGCCAAAATTGGCACCCGCGGGTATACACCGATCGCTCGATGGATTCAATGTCATTTTACTTTCGACGCGGCTTTACGACAGTAGTGAGACTTTGTCCTGCAAATCCGGGGGAAGAGATGGTGATGTAAATCGTGGAGTAACTTAATAACTGACGTCTTTACGGGTCGTTAGCTTGACCTACTGAATAATAGTATATACACGTACATCGAATTGTGCTATAGTATTCACATCTATTCAATTCATTATCGGCTAATGAATTAGAGATTCGACGAATATGATAAGAATAAACCCAGCTAATTAAAGATATAAAATTAACGTTACAAAAAATAATCTTCTGGACTCTTAATTAATTTCGGAAATTTTAATATTTATTTGTATTCAATGATAGTTTTGGACTCTTCAAGCTTTTGGACTCTTAATTAATTCGGGAAATTCCAATATATATGCAAATGTATTTAAGCACGCGTTTATTTGTATTCAATGATAGTTTTATCAGTTAAATTTTTTAATTTGATAAACGAGCATCAACGTGAATCAATTCCTCAAAGCGCGGAATTATATTACGCGATATCGTTCGCCTTTATTCTTATAATTGTTCGCGCGACAATGAACTATCCATTGTGTGGTAATTGACGCGATTTACTCCTTACGTATCGACGGAAAGATAAGTAAATATAGGAGAATAAGATTTTTATTTATCGAAACAATGCTGCAGTTGTGGCAAAGTGGTAATGAGATATGCAAATAAACATTACGGAAACCTTTCTATCTCTTCCGCAAAAAACATGATATTAAAATCATGGGTATTTAGTTTCGTGTCACGTATTTGCTTGTACCTGTAATGTCGGAAATACAACTTCAGTCGGGAGTTACGACCAATTTATTCATTCTTTTCTGTATAGAATAAATTAAATATGTAAATTACGTAAAAGATTGGCTGACCATTGTCTACCTGTGTACTCTCGTGATTATTTATGCAATATAAATTACTTTTATTATTTTTTATTAATATTTTTTATTAATATCGACTTAACATATTTATTTTATTGTAACTTGTGCCATGTATATCTACGTTCACTATGTATATCAATAAGATATAACAATAAATTCGATAGAAGTAATGCAGAAAAGGTAGAAATTTCGGAATATTATATACGAATACGTTACGCGAACATGCCCCCAACCGTACTTCCTGTTCCTATATGTAATGGTGAAAATATAGACTGCACAATTATACTTTTCACCGGGTGCAGACGTACGATCTCAGCGGATTCCAAAGTGCGCCTTCGACTTTCTCGTAGATTAGACATAGCCGCGTGACGCAGAGAGAGTGAACAGGAATCTCCTCCTCTCACACGCGGAGTCCAGATGAAAAGACAACTAGGACAATCTCGGGCAGGCTTTTTTCGTCCGCTTTTAACGCGCGTTGCGTTACCTGTATTATATTCAAAAATGCAATCGCACTTCTTATTTCTTTATTAACAACTGGAAATTCGTAAAAATAAATCGGCCCGAATATTCGTTTCGGGCTCAACCGCGAGATTTCTAATCGGTCGATTTCGCGCGGCGCTCGAAAGTTAAGCGCTTCACGATTTTCCCCTTATATACAATCTCTTCGTGCAGTTTTTGTTCCCGCTTTAACGACCATAATAACGATATACTGACTCTTTGTGCGACTGCAAGTAAAATTCACTTCCAATTAGACGGCGTCACGTAAGAAAGCATTCCATTGCTTACGACGGCCGCTGCTTGCTTTCCGTACGCAATCTCCTTTCGCGAGAAAGTTACGTATATACCGACGTCACCTTACATATCAAACTCGTATTTCTAGTCTTCGGGGAGTTTCTATAAAAAGTATATAAGCATTGTCTTGACAAAGAAGAATGATTTTGTCTTTGTATTTGTATTGTTATTGTGTGATGTGCAAGTAATAATTCCAATTGCTGTACGATAAATGAAAAGTATATAATATCTTTATCATTGTGCGCGAACAGTACAAAAGCAAACTCCGTAATATAATTCTGCTTTTATATGTAATCAAAAACTAAAAACAAATCTTGTTTCTTACGAGGAAAAGTTGGATAGATTGAAATTTCAAAAATATGTTTCCTGAATAATGGAAATAATTTAAAATAATTAATATTTTTTATTCTTTCCTAGATATTTAATAGCGTATATTTAAAAATTGTAATAATGTCTAGGTTTAAAAAGTTGCTAAGTCATGACGAAGATCGTCTTGAAAAATTGCTAAGTCACGAACACTTGTGAAATTCCTGCAAAATTGACAATTACAAAAGTGAAATTTAAATGCAAACTTTTTATACGTACGAAATTTTTTATACATTTTGTACATGTACTTCCATATCCCAGACAGACGCATATGTTTTTAACACGTCTTATATCTCGATTATGAATTATGCGTGCTGTCTAGAAAATACGCCGAGGTTTTAAGCCCAAGTTCAAATACATTCTAAACTGTACACCTTTAAAATTCAAACGTGTTTGAAGTGAAAATTATATGGCAGGGTCAAGTCTCGTTTGACAGTAATGTTATCGCGGATAACACAATGAACGGTTATCTCCAATCCCTTCTATCATTATATCTTTCAGGAAGCAGGTGTTGCACAAAAGGTCTACGCCGTTTGAATGATGAAACTACTTGCAGGCGTAGAGGAGGTTAGCGACCACTGTGAAAAAGAGACCAATAATGGCCAACTGCACAACAATAATAGTCATGAAAAGCAATCTACAACAGAATTGGCGCAAGAAGCGAGCAAGCCGCTCGTCAACAAGGTCAGTCAACGTGTTGTCAGTTGACGTGTATACGTCGACGTTTTCAATCGTGTCGAACAAGATTTTAAAAACAGATTAAGATCAGTAAAAAATTCAGGAATAAATTATGAGAACGCGAAGACGCGATAAAACGGAATAACCGCGGCCACGTGATTATGCGCGGTTAACGTCGTCATGAGATTAACGATTTACGCCGCTGCGGATAATAATAGCGATAAAGCATTTTCGCGAAAATCCCGCGGATAAGATCGACGGCGGTTGGAAGTCCGGAAGTGCGGCAGCTTCACGCAAGGGACACTGTCAAGTTGACATGCTCCATTTCTTATTATAAAGTCATCCGTTTCCGCTTTTTGCGAGACCGAGACACGCGACTACGGCTTTCTGGGTTACGCGATAAACTCTGTAATTTTGCATTTCTCCTTTTCCCTGTGTGCATTACAAGTACGATTAACAGGATTTTCCCATCAGGCTAGAGATTTCGCGAACAAAATCTATTTTGCAAAAAAAAATGCAATATTCATCGTCGTGCGGCTGCCGATAATAACATTAGCGGTCCGCCCCGAAAGTAATAGATAAAAAACGCGATTGACTGTTGATCGCTTGGCGAACGCTCATTACGAGGCGAAAGTATACATTGTCTTCTGAAATTGCATTGCAACAAAATCTGACATTAATCGCTAATTGTTTTTCATTTTCCGCGACGGTACTCGCTCTAATCGCGGCCGATTATGATGCTCCGTGCTGGCGTAGCAACGAGAGAATCGATTTCACTAGCTGCAAACTTATGCGGCACGAGAGGAAAACGGATGGCGTAAACTTGACACACTCGGATGAAAGGCAGGTCCCGTTGTGGCCTACTTACCGCATTCGCGTATCTGTGAAAGATAGTATGATCGAAACACTTCTCGTCTATATTCTCTGTGTAGCCAGTGTAACTCTTTCCGAGTCATTAGGAGCGCATCCTACATGTAGTGAATTCACTTGATCAGTCCTCTTTCACATATCGAATAACTTTCTATCTTGTGTAAGGCATCAATCAGTGACAAAACTATATTTTGTACTATAACACAATGTCACGTTCAAGTTTGAGTTACATTCAATGATTGCCGACTTGAAAAAAAATGTTAAGGGGGGGGGGGCGCCAAAGCGAAAGCATTTCAATTAACAATTGCATTAACTTTTTCTTTTTTAGCCTTTAAAATTGTTTTTAATAGTTTTTACATTATCAAGTGAAAATGAGGAAGGGGAAGTAGAAATGTATAGAAATATATAAATTATATTCTTTTACATAAATCAAAATATACAAACAGAATAGGTATTTGGTGCACAAAATTGAGAAAAAAAGCTTAATAATTTTCCTATTGCCATATTATTGGTGTATCGCCTGGCCGACGATTTCTCGCAGTTTTGATCGCAGAAATTATTTGCAGTTGTTAAAAAAACCTTTTGTTCAATTATTGTAAAAAACAAACGATAAAAATTATCGGGAAGGCGTCGTTCTTCTCAACAATTTTATTAAGGGGGCGAAAAGTGCTCTGCCCTTTGTAAGTCGGCGCCTTGATTACATTAATATCATTATTCGATTATTTTTATTTTTCTATAACTTCGATTGTTTTTATTTTGTTATTAAAGATAAGTTAAAAGTTATTTGTATTAAGAAATTATTTGTTAGATAAACAAATTTGTATGATTATATAAGTAAGGATTGTAACCAATATTTCAATATTGTATAAAATTGTATTTTATAATTTACTCTTTGTACGATTAATTGATTTCTCTCTTAATATATTTAAATTTTGGCTCATATTGCTATTCAATTAATACAGAAATATAATTAAAAGTGTGAAGATAATTTTTACGTTACGGAAAATTTACTCTTGTTTATATAACACATGGATAGTGTTTCCTCTTTTTAATAATTACGTCAAGTTAAAGAGGGAATTTATCGTAGCACAAAGTCATATCATTCCATTGTTGCTGCGATGAGTTTACATCGCCGAGGAATGTCACAAACGAAAGCGATGAAAGCAATACTACGTATTGTTCAGAATACTCCGAGTGCAATAAAACGTCATTCCGCGAACTTCTTATGTAAGTGAGTTATGCATAATTTATGATTGAAAGATTCAATTACATGTATGAGATGCAAAGTGTCATTTTTATTCGCGTTTATGCAAGATAGAGCACAATTTTTTGTAATTGTTATTTCAATGTATGAACATGATAGAATATATGAGAAAGAAAAAGAGGTAAAATAATTGGCGATTAAAAAAATTAATCATTAAATAAATAGCGATTTTTTTTTCAATTCGGTCTTTAATATTAATGGAGATCGAAAGGTCACAATTTTTATATAATATTGCACACAATATTGAATACTCTATCTATACGTAAAAATGTATATATAGATTTATCTATACATCAAAATTTAAAAAGTATATATCGTACAAACATTAAAAATTTTAGGTATTCTCGTTTAGAATTTTGGGTTCGGATATATTGAATATGTTTCGACTTTTCGTTTTGAAATAGGTATGCGGCGATTCGACAGTCAAGAGGGATGTCCCACCAGAGGAGGAAAACAAGTTGAGACGTTTGCTACGGTTCGAGGAGGCGCCTGAATTTCTTCAGCACAATCCCTACATACTGCGCGGTTACCGAGGCTGCTTGACCACCAAATTGTGCCTCGAGAGGTTGAGTTTATAACATTCCTCGATACATTCACGCTAAACTCCAATAATCTCGGAGGTGATAAGCGATATACAACACCGACAGCACACGTTTCTCAATTCGAAAATATTTAACGTTTCAGCATATTTTGGTGGACAAACGAAACCGTCAATATATGGAGTCACATTTTTGGCTGGATGCTCTTCTTCGGTCTGACCCTATACGATCTCTGTCTACTGAACATTCACGCGCCGTTCAGCGACAAATTGATCGTGTCTTTGCTGCTTCTTTGCTTTCAGGTGAAAATCTCGGCAACGTGCACAATTGCACTCGTTAAAATATGATGAGATAAAATAAATGAGACCGTTTTTAGATATGCATGATCCTGTCGTCCGTGTATCACACGTTCTCGTGTCGAAGCGAGAAGGATTACTGGTGCTTCCTATCTTTCGACTTATTCGGCATTGCTCTGAGCATGCTGTCGATATACATGTCGGGGGTCTACTATGCCTTTTGGTGTCACAAGGTGAAGAGAATGTCGATTTCTCCGCGGCTATAATTTTAATTCTACGTTACGGCTTGTGCAAAGAAAGTTTAGATATTTATGTTTTTTTACGTACGCGCATAGGTATATAATTTGCATTTCGGAAGTTTAAAGAATTAATGATTACAATATGTTTTTCGTGTGTCAATACGACTGGTAAATCCAAATCGACCTCAAATCCGGCGAATCTCTTTTGCAGGAGCTGCAGCGGTTTTACCTCACGACCGTGCTCGCGATCTTCATTTTCGCGATGATACTGCAAATACCGAAGCTGAACATCAACAGCAACATTAAGCTAGCCGTATTCGTGAGCTGGGCGATATATGGCGTGCTGCCAACGCTGCATTGGACCTTCGCGATGGGTGGCTTGGATAACCCGATCGTTAAAATGCTCATTCCGAGGGTGATAGGAATGTACATTATTAACGCTATCGCATTCGCGTTCTATATGCTCAAAATACCCGAACGTTTTTACCCAGGTAAATTGACGGTAATTACCGTTCTCTCGTTACCGTAACGACGCTCCTTGCGTTATGCCGCGCTGAATAATGCAATTGCGCACATTACATGTTGAGTAAACGCTCACAATACGCGACGTTACCCCGTAGGCTGGGTGGACTACGTCGGCTCGTCGCATCAATGGTGGCACGCGCTGGTCGTGCTAGCCCTCTATTATTGGCACAACACCGGAATGCTTTACGTGGAATACAGAATGAATCACGGATGTCCGAGCAGTATGACATTATGACATACGGATTCCGACGGCCAACCAGGTATACGCGAGATAACAGGTCGTAATTCAACGCCGGTTGTGATGGCGACACTGATACTAATGTAAATCATATCACGTTCTCGCAATGTCAAGTGTGGCTCACGCCCGACGGTTGTGCCTAAAAATATCCAAGATATTTCACGTGTCTAATGCTAGAGCGAAAATATTAATTCTATAACGTAACATCCATCAATTTTTTAAATGAAAGCGTAAAAGCTAAAATTATTATACAGCTAAAATTATTAAGTCCAAGAAAGCATTTCAAAACAGTATATTATAATGTTCCACAAAAAATTATGAGCAACTTCAAAACTATCGAATTACTGAAACGAGTTTGAAATTTTAAACTGCAAATCTTAATTCTGTTGCAGAATCCGTCCTCGCCATGGATTGCTCCTGCATGATGAAGACGGGTGCTTGGTCGTTGGAGGTCGCGGAACCGCCGTTTTATAGTATCTTGAAGAATATGTCCTGCGAGATACAAAATCCATTGCGTGTGTACGCGCATCGATAGTCGTCGACACCTTTAGGAAATATACGTTGCGACGTTCTGGAGAGAGACTCGCTGTGGATGTATATTTAATCCACGAAGTTCCGCAACTCTATTTATATTTATTCGATATCACTATTTCTTATCGATATCACTATTTATATTCGTCTCGCGTTGACAGCTAGTTTCATTCTAAATATTCTCTTTCTTTCCTTTTCTTTCTATCTTTAATTCTAGCAGGACTAAAAATAAATAAATTAATAAAATATATTAAACTTTTTAATATCGCTGTAGAAATGCGCTCGTTGAATTTAATTCCGGACTGAAAAATTTTTTAGATTTATGGATAAACGTAGCCAACTAAGTTTATTCGCAAAGAACAAATTTTTTGCAAATGTAACAACGATACAAACAACTGATTATGTAAAAATATTTCGTAACAATTTCCTGCTGGAATTAAAAAAAACAGTCTTTCGCTTTCAGAAATCTAGTTAGAGTTGTTTCTTCTTACGTTCCAATGAGACTGGGGATTGCAAATTGTTCGATGTAGAGTTATGTAGACTATAATAAGTCCTAACGCCTTGCGCGACAGTTCTTTATGAATGATCAGCTAGAAATATTCTAAACAACATATGTATGCTCAAAATCGGAACATAAGACATCTGATCCGATTTTGGATATGCGTGCTGTTTGGAATTGTGTTATGATTTTTTTATCTCTGGTGCAAAAAGAGTGCCTTTTGTCGTTTTACTTCTAGCTTATAAACACGATATTAGAAATCTCGAGTCATGGGTTACTTCTGACGTAAAAGTCTTTCCTTCATTTTGTTGATGAAAGACTGCCGATGGCAATGTTAACGAGATATCGGCGATTGATTAATCAAAGCGCGCCGTGACATTGATAGTTGCTTTTGCAACACGGTCAAAGACGGGATATATTGGGTAACTTTGCTAATTTCCATTACTCGCAGCGCACTTTTATGCGCATGTTTTGTAATGTAGAAAGGGGTCTTATACATACCAAACGATATCGAAATTAATATATACATATATTATTACTTGACTGATTCCAGTATACATATACACGCCGCATCTTCGAGCGGTCCTTATACAATACACAATATTGCAATATAAATAAATAGTTAGGTGATAATAATTTGTATAACGTTGTGAAACAATATTGTTCCCTAGATCGTTGTTAAGAAAAATAAATATTTTATGTATAAATATAAGAATCCTTTACCTTTCCTTCGTTTAATTAAGCAATTCAATTAATTATCTGTAAAAAGAAAGTATAATGATTATATGTATATATATAATTATATATATATATGTATATATATACATATATAATA